ACACACACACACACACACACACACACACACACACACACACACACGATCAGGATAACTCTACAAAACCGAGATATCATTAGAAGCACAAGTCAACTAAGAGGTAAAAAGAAAGTAGAGAGGGAAAATGGAGAACTGTTGCCTTATGAGAGGGCAGAGGTGGAGGTTCAAAGTTCAAACTGTTAAATCAGAGGTGATCATTAGGGGCCTCCCCACATTCAACCACTTTTGACAGAACCAGTGAAGCTATGAGCAACTTCATGAGTAAAGATTGAACAAGTTGCAAAAATAGAGAGATGTATTGGGGAACAGGAGCATGGGGTTAAAGGAAGAGGGAGGTGAATGTTGGGGGAGTTCACTGAGAGAACAGAGAAATGGGAAATGTGGGGGGAGGAAAAATGGGTGAAATAAGACAAAGTATAAAGGGGGAGGAGGAGGGAGAAGCGGGAGCGGAGCAGGGAAACTACGAAAAGAAGAAGGACCCTGTGTGTGTGTGGTTTTTTTTGTTTGTGTGTGAGTGTGTGACCTTAGGCTCTCAGTTCTATTGGCAGTCAAAGACCTTGAAATTTCTCTCTCCCAACAGCAACACAAGGCGGATTAGCCCCCTCCCCACAAACATACAAGCCCATACACCAGTTTGTGGGGCTCCTTCAAAAACGGTTATTCAATCACTCCTATAAACTACTACTATAAATCAGTTTCTGACTATTATAGAGCTCAGACAGCTCTGTTGGCAATATTTGTTTTCTTGTCTAAAATCTTCTTCAAATCAAATGTGCATTTTATTTTACAATCTCTCTCTTATTTTATTTCAGTAAATCATATCGCTGTAGAACCATTAGGTACACTAAATGTAATCTGTCTAATAAATATGACTAACAGCATCCTATTGAGTCATGGATAGTGAAGGATGGAGGGAGGCCGAACAGATCATGTCGGAGGCACAAACTGAGGGGAGCAGGAGGAAAAGCGAGAATACTAAGATGTTTGTCAGGATCCTTTATATCAGGCGTGTATGAAGTTTTTATTTCCCAAAGGCACTTTCACTGAACAGTGAATTCTCGGTTGCACTTTATCTCTGCATATTACACTGCTTTGCCTTAACAGACTAATACTTGTATACATTTTATTTGGTCTTGGAAAAAAATTGCTATTTCCCAAAATATAATTTGATGTATTACGGGTGTTGGAAATTGTGAAGTTTTACATCCAAACATTTGAATAGGAGATGATATCTATAAGTACACATGTATAAAAGGGAGAACATGTTTTTTTTTGCTGAAAGATAAATATCCCTAGATTACTCCAGGGCAGCAGAGCCGAGGTGAAATGGTTAGACTTTCAGAGGTTCAGATTTCCCTGACAAAACAGTAAACTGCAGCTGTGTCAAGCCTTAAGCAAAAGCAGGTTCTTGCTGTTGATTGATTCTGAAGTTGCTTTAAAGTACCCCCCAAAAATACACACACATAGTGAAAAACAGAATAGAAACCATGTCTGCAAATTTTCTTGTAAATGTTTTAAATGCAGGCTACGAATAATTTACTCTGTTCCTTTTTCTTTTAGAGCTCTGTGATATGACATGTGATTGGAAGATAGTAAAACATCTATCATTTCAGAATATGCTCTATAATTTATTTTGTTTTGTTGCAAACATTTTTAGTCTTTCAGATGGCACTTTGTATTTTTTTGCATTGAGCAGACAGGGGCAGGACATTTGCATGAAGTTAACAGAAACTAACTCAGAGGAGAGTGAACATGACCATCACTGTCCTGTGGATGTGGTTTTGGGATGAAAAGTGGCGCATGGACTTGGAAACCATAATTTGCAAATTATGCTGCAGAC